CTCCAGAGTTTTTTCTCTGCTCCACGCTGGAGACATTCTGAAAGCTGTATCTTTCCCTTCATATTTCTTTTCATTTTCAGCCAATATTGTTTCTACCCAGAAAATTATGGGAAGTTCCTTAAAGATCTTTCTTAGCAAAGATTGTAGTTCTATATATTGAATACTATTTTTTAGAAGGATCTACTTTAACCTAGGCACCGGAGTTAAGATTTCGTAAATTCCAGGGATTCGTACTTGTTGCGGTACCATTCTCGCTGATCCAACTTGGCACAGTAGCAAACTAACTTTTGAGTTAAGTATCTTTTACAGTAATTGCATTTATTGCATCTTCATGACTGGAATAGAGTCGCTTATCGTCTGCACAAGAGTAGCGTTGTAAAAAAAGGTCTTTCATGAAGATGTTGAATGACCGAGGGCCCAGCACAGATCCTTGGCGTAATTCCACCCCAGGTCCCCGCCTGACTGGAATCGATTGTCCTCCATACAGTTGAAACTGAAAAAATGTTCAAATCCAACTCACGTCACCACTAGAGAGGGTTCGTTGTCAAGAAGAAGAAACCCCATGTTGAGAACTGAAGAAATATAAAACCCAATGTCGTGTAACTGAATGTTGAAAGTACAAAATAAAGATGTATGCAAATTGGCAATATATGCTCTGCTTCCCATAATGCGCTCTGTCTTATCGTTTCCCGCAATATTATCCACACTTGATCTGTGTGGCGGTTTCTTTGTGTTTTATTCTCCGTGTCCGATACTTTCAAATCGAGTCTGAATCTTCTCCTCTTCGACATTACTGCTGGTTTGAAAGTCTTTCCGCAATGCTTCACTTGAAAAGATAAACCTATATGATAAAATGCAGAACTGAACATTATTCAGCGAGAGAAGAACTGGAAAACTGTTGTTACAGCCAACACAAGCAATATATACGAAATGCAACGGCCCGTACACAAACAAAAACAATAGACTACAGCTAAGCAATGACTCCTAAACAAAGAACGAAAATACAGTGGTTATTACCCTGTGAACCAAATAGAGAGCTACTGACGTGCGAAACCTTTTCTTACCAGCTGTAAATCTCCAAGCTTCTCTACGACTGTCAGAGGGCCATTGTTGTCACATTTAGTACTGTCACGAAAGCGTCTAGTAATAATCATCTTCCATGCTAGTTAGTGCGTTCAGGATAATTTTGACGAACAATTTTAAGAAACAGTAGGTCAGTGACCAAAAGACCTGACTGAAACTCCTTAGTATTTATTTATCCGCGTTCTCCACTTATACGATAGAAACATAAAAAAACTGCTTTCTTATTTCCTTTACAGCGTGAAAATAAAACCAAGAACTGCTTCCGATGAGGTAACAAAAGAAACCGGCATTTAGACTTAAATGATGCCTTGAAGTACTTTTGTAGCAGACGTCAGTTTGTTTTTGAATGTTTATCTTGGTCAACGCGCTTAGCTACACCTAGCTAGTTCACAGGCATGCCACTTGAACTGAAGGAAACGCATACTCCGTTTAATTTGCTCTGTCCGTTGACTGAAACACCACTGCATGTGGTAAATGCTCAGCATGGTTAAAGAATTGATAGCTTAGACTACTGAAGATAGCTCGAATACAAATGAAGTTAAAAGAAAACCGCCGAATTTCAGTGAGAACACTTTGTTTCCAGGGCAATGGTTTCCATCTGATTAGTCAATTTTCTTAGTTTTTTTTGTCATTATCCTGAAGCAAGACACGATAAAAGCGTCCTTAAACGTTGAATTACAGCTAATTAGTATGCAAGAAATAAACTGGTGTTGTTTAGCAAAGTGGTTTGAAGTTAAAGGTAGCGTCCCGGAACCAACCAAGGCAAATAACCTTTACCGGCACGTCTGAGAAAAGTCTCAAAATTCACCGTTGTAAATGACCGTTAGGTCAAGTCTCTTCGTCTTAACATAAATAACAAGCCATTTGAGTAGAAAACCGGCTTACTTGTGTATCTTATTAAAGACATTTTTCGATATTTTCTTGTTGCCTTCAGCGAGTCATAAGTAGAATGTACCGGGTTCATGTTCGTATTTCACTCAAATTGTTTTTTTTTTTAATCATTGCGGGAGAATCGTTTAAGAGGATAATAAATACACCTCATTAGACATTTTTAGCGTAGTATCGCCGAATTTTTCAAGTGGTTTTATTGGCGAGTCCGTTGGGCGAGTCTGGCGAGTCAAAATGCAAATGGCGAGTCAAACCATGCAGCGATACTAACCACGCACTAAAACGTCTAATGGCGTATTTATGTTAGCTATTTCTTTGACTTGCAACAACTTTCGTACAGTCGAGAGGAATAAGAGCCCTTAGATAACTTCCTAACCGCGGCCTTCTAGACATTTGTGCTCATTTCCAGTGTTACTTGCACAATAGTGTGAGTAGGGCTGGATAAAAGAAAAACAAACTCTCGATGATTTAGGACAATTATACTTGTTTGAACATTTGATTGCAATTTTATGAGCCTTACGGAATTACGAGATGATATTAAACTAATTTATATCTCTTACAAACCTTGCAAACAAATGAGGACAGCTCAAGGTTCAGTGATGTCTTGTTGGAGCCCACAGTGTAGATTTGTCCCAAATCAAGTGAGAATGCGATATTCACCAGGTAATCCCACTAAGTTATTTTTAGACATGGTACCCAGTTCCACGCGAACAGTGGGACCACAAGCGTTGCGTGAATATTTTCTTGCAGGGTGAAGATGAGTGTAACATAGGATAGCCGATCAGTTTGCGGCAAAGATCTGGTTAGCTGATCCTTTCCAACTGCGGTAACGGGTGGCCAAACTATGTATTGTTCTTATCACAGTTCGATCTTTCCTTGGCCTTTCTGGATCACAACACACTGCTTAAAATTTATCTTCTCCGCTTCGAAGGTACAGAATCTGCCTCACTATCACCATAAAGGTCTATTTACCAAAACCTCCACCAGAACTTCCTTCAAAAATACTCAACACTTAACAGATTATCTTTCAATATGATTAAAAAATAAATCAAATCACAATTTACAAACAGAAAAGAATTTTATTGGCTCAGCTACCATGCACAAACACGTTGCTTCGATATCAGTAGATTCTGTGAAAAAATGTGTCGAGTGGCGAATTTGCATTTCAAACAGATGAGGATATTCTACAGTTAAAATGAGACAAGAAAGCTCAGTTCTATATTAGAATATAGAAATATTAGACAGGAGAAAAACTCCTACCACAAGGTTGGAAAGACATGAAAACCTAAAACTTTCGTACAGAAACTTCTCCGAAACTGTTCATACGTCCAAAATTTTAACTTTTGAAAATCTTACGGAGTCCCAAAGTTGACAATCCGGTAGATTTCTACGAGAAAATTAATGTAAGCTTCAAATTGTTGGTGATGTCATATGCTAATCAGCTTGTGTGATCATTTGCATAATATATAGCAGTAAGGTAGAGACGAAAACGAAAGGGTTTGAGACATCATCATTATTTGTCTGTTCTCCTAGTGGAGAATTGGGCTCTCTCTTCCTCCACTTTACTTTCTCCTCTGCAGTCAGCGTAGCCTGCGAACGCAGACGTGTTTCGGGCTGTCGCTCGTCCCTTTTCGGCGGAGAGAAGCGAGAACCGGAAATCCGTCTGCGTTTGCAGGTTACAGCCGATGTTGCCTCTGCCCAGGTTTTTAGTCCTTTTCCCTTGAGATCCCTTTCCACTGTTCTCCTCCATGTCTCCCGCGGTCGACCACGTTTGGGAAGAAACTTACACAATCAATACGAACATCGTCTGGGATTCCTATTGGTCTATCTTCATTTCTGTTATCTATCGTGCTTACGTCGTGCGGGATACTTCAAATTTGACGAAAATTGAACAGTCCATCCCTGTAAGCCTGAGCAGTGTCGGTGAATGTCGAGAGATGGCTGCATTCGTATGCTTCTTGTTGCTTGTCTGATATGAACCGAAACGGTGTCAGTATCAATGTTCTCGGTCAATGTTTCCGACTCCTAACAATTAGACGAAAAAAGGAAATCCTAGGTCTAGAAAACTTGCTTCTGAAGTGTTTCAAAGCTATGTTTTGCTTTCCTGCGCGCTGGCCGAATGATCCTGTTCGAGCGGTCTGGGTTCGAGTGCTGGCCAGGGTCACTGTATTTTGTTCTTGGGCAACACAATTCAACCTTTTCCTCGACATTCAACCTCACAGTGTCTCTCCTCATCCAAGCTGACAGCATGCTGTCATGAGTAATGTGTAGTAGACTACCATCCCAGAAATGGCAGTCTTCTTAGCAACTCCATGCTTCAGAAAACGGAATGAAGCGCCAGGTCTACCAGGTTTAAAAAGCGTTACCCTAAATAATTTGTTGCGTTTTTTTGTAAGTAAGTAATTACAGTGTATTGTAAGTCCTTAAGTAACACGATGTGTATGTTATGCCATAATAAGTCATTATTGCGTATTGTAAGTACGTAACGTAATGAAAAGTATTTTAAGTAGGTTTTTTTTTTCATGTACTGTAAGTGATGTTTGTAAGACAGTAAAAACATTAAAAAAAAGTATTACCCCTAAAGGAGCTGCGTCATGGTTTGCGAATCTTGAAAAGTTTAGCCTAAAGTTTTCAAGTTCTTTGTTTGTACTGAATCCGAGTTAATCTTCTCCATCCTTAACCATACTTGTTCGTTTATGGTTTATTAGTACCTCTTTAGTGTTTTTCTATCTTAGTAAACTATTATTTTCAGGTTTCCTCCAATTTAAAGGTAATTTTGTACGTGGCCAAGATAACTCGCAATGCCAGGACTGAGCTCCTTTAACACAGACATGATTCCTGAGCGGCTAAACTGGGTAACAGTTCTATTTGAACATCGTTTCTTAGTTTTCTACTTTAACCAGACTTCATTGAAATCAAGAACTTCAACATGGACAGGGCCGTGTGTAGTAACCGCTGACAGGCAAGTAAAAACAATTCACGGATCAATTAATCGTCGGAGTTCTAAGGTAAACTTCCTCCACAACAGGTTACTCAAATGATATAATTGCTCTTTATTTATTTGATAGCGCTGGTTAAGGACTGTCAACATCCAGCGTGTCCATTCTGTGCAATTTAGTCCAATTCTTCCATGTCGCCGTAATCGTTTCTATTGTTGAAAACAACGCTTTTTTCCTTTGAAGACTCAGACGTCTTGAAGGCCTCGTCGTCAGACGTGCCGCTCTTACAAGGTCCCGGATGTTGAGCTTGCAAGGTCGACAGTGGCGTTAAAACCTGGTCAATATCTTTACGAGTGATTTCCAAGCGTGCGAGTAAAGTGTTCCAGTTCTGTTTACATGACTCCAATGCTTGTGATACGTGGGAGTTCTTTCTCTCAAGTCTGTTAAAAAAAGGTTAAAAATCGCGAAGATTAACTGCCTTAAACAAGGCTTAAGAATTAAGAAATACTGGAAGCATCTAGCCTACTGAAAGTGCGGCTTCTATTGTAAACCCTTGCGGAAATTAAGACAATTAAGTGAAAAGGGTCGTCTAGTCTTGTAAAAAAAATAAAAATACTTACATTAAAATGAAAGCCAATGCGAGAATTTTCCACTGGAATGGTTTCAGAGTGACGTTCTTACTGCTTAAGCTATAGAAATATAACAAGAGAGTCTTGTAAAGGGAAGGTAAGACTACACGTCACAGAATATCTAGAGTTAATGAAGCATTAAAAGGTACGGAGCGCTGCCAGCAATGCAAGACATCATAACTTTCATCCTGATTTCAAATTAAAGATACCTTTTGAAGATTTCTGACAAATTTTACCAAACTTTGTTGACCAGCGTTGAAAACTGCGCCTATCAAAATACCTAAACGAACAGGCACATGCAGTCAAGATCAAAGCCAGCAGCAGCCTTAAGGACGGCCGCGCCCATTGTTTCTGCGCATCCTGTGCATCCGTCCTACATCGAGCTCGCACGCTCGATGTATGACTTGGCGTGGCAGAAACAATGGCCGCGAACATCCTTAACCTGTGATACTCGCTTTTTCCATGTCAAAGGAATTGCTGAAGGAACATAGCCTGTTTCAGGCGTTCAGTTAGTTGGGGCGCAGCGCGAAAAACGGCGAGCGCGGCGAGAAAAAGCCCTTTCTCTTGTCGCGCTTCTCCCCTATTTTTTCACCCGCCGTTTTTCGCGCTGCGCCCCAACTGAGCGCCTGAAAGAGGCTAGAAGGAACATGACCTCACCACGCCATCCACGCACGGGAGGGGGGGAGGGGGGGGGACTGTTGCCAAGGTCACGAGACAATTCATCAGAGAACTGATATTTGTCTGTGATTGGATGATAAGAATCAGCAACTCTTCGTAACATCTTACGGTACAACAAAAATCGAACTGCAGCCTATTTACTCACCTAAACGTGTGCACAAGCTCAGTGAGGTCACGTGATATTTCACCAACAGTCAACTTGACTTCGCTCAACAAATCCGGCATGCTAAACAAACAAAAGAGAATCTTGTTCAACTATAAAGACCCTTGATATTAGACACACCACGTTGATCACTCGTTGGCATAAATTTGTCGTTAGTATAACCTTAAGCCTTTTCTAAGCCGTCTGCGTCGTCCTACGTTCATCCATTGAATCTGCTTCTTTTCTGTCAATTAAGGCGAATTAAACGTTTTATGGAAGAGAGTTTTATATATGCATGTGCGAGGAAAGTAGAAGTCTTTAGAGGGCCTGGGAACTATTCACGATAAGATGAGTATACACACAACTTACAACGGACAGGAGGGGATTGCAACTCCTCAAACCCCATCCCCCAATGACTACCTTGAGATTCGCCTTGTATGTAACTGATGTGAGAAACGGAAAGTTTTTCAGCCGCAACGATTACTATGTATGCGAAAGTCACGCGTGCTACATGTAAATTCTCGGGCCCACAATATCTGTGTGGAGACCAATGCATCTAACTCACCCCTCCCACACTCCTCAGTCCAAGGAGGAAGATTAAGCCATCATTCGCTGATTTGATGCTTTCACTTACGTTCGAAACAACTTGTCCAACACGATTCGTCTTCTTATAGTCGTTTGTGACTTTGAGTCGATCGGTGGCACAATACACACTGGATCCTGTAGCGAAGAAATCAAGCATGTTAATAAGCTGTACAGCAGACACAGTGAGGCGGTTGCTGCTGCCAAAGATACATAAATGCTATCATAGCAAGTTAAAAACCTATCTTGATACTTCACATCAAAAAACCCTGTTTCTTTAAAGGGCATGATCAAAGCTACACTAATAAATATACTTCAATGTGAAATCAAGGCTGAGAACTCGTTTTGACCCATCTCAATAATGTGTTACCATTTAAACAACAGTAACACATCGGTTAACATCTTTCCCCCCCATCCTAACAAAAAAGTCTGTTCCTGAGCACGGCGGATTCTCGATTTCCCGAGTCTCCAGAGGAATTTGGTTCCAGAGTTGGGAGTTTGAGATATTGGGTTAAATTTACAGTGAAGCATATCCAAGGGAAATAAAATTTGGTTCGATTTGTCAAGAAGTTTTAGAATTTTCTGCCTCTGTTAACTGATGTGTCACTGTTGTGTAAATGGTAACACATTATCGAGACGGGTCAAAACGAGTTCTTTGTGTTGATTTCACACCGAAGTATATGTATTATAGCTAACTGTTTCTCAAAACCTATCCTTCTTCGAGAATATTCGGGTTCAAGAAATTGGGGATCCGCTGGAATTATAAAGCCTTGGACATTTCTTTATGATATAAATTATTAATCATACCGATACTCTGACGTTTAGCATCAGTTTGAAGACAACTTTGCGTCTTTTAAAATGACACATTTTAACCATTTGATAGAAGAGAAAAAGCCTTGAACTCAATATGAAAAAAAACTTTGGTTCTGAAGGAAAGGCAAATGGTATAGATACAATTCTCTCAAAATTGCATGAGCCTTTAGCGCACAGCAATTTGAAGGAATTTTCAGATATCAGGAGTAGTGTAAATCCTTAATTCCTTGAGCTTTCATATGATTACTCATTTATTATATGACTGAGAAAGTTATGAATTATTAACGATAGATTGGCCTGCTCTTGGCCAGTCACAATGAAGTAATTTTCCCATTCATAATAAAATAGGAAATGCTAACTTACCCGCTTAAGGTTTTTCTTTTCTTTTATCACGATATCTTCTCTAACTATGCCTGGGCTTGTCCCAGTCTCCAAATCTGAGTCTGAGTCTTCCTTGACAGCAATCGTGGGTTGGTAGAACCGTGTAACTCTCCTTGTAAAGGAGTCTGGATCTAAAAAGTCAAGTTTACCACAAAAATGTTCAATCTCATGGAATGACCTCTTCTTTGCTTTTGCTGAGCTCAAACATGGTCAACCTCACCATCATAATCTCTGTAGACATCAGAAACGAAATAAAGAGGTTTAGGATGCTTACCTGTGGCCTCTGGAAAGACACTCTGAGTATCATTTTTCGGAGAGAGGCTGAGATATTCCAAGGTGGAATGCGTGCACCACTCTTGAAACACTGTCTGAACTGATTGAATGGTCATATCTCTGCTGAGAGATCTGTCCTTACTGTCCTGTACTCTTTCTTTATGTAAAGCAAATTGACTTTTACTATCATTAGATTCTGGTGATATCTTAAATCTTTGATCAGGTTTATCCAGTAATTGACCAGATTTGTCAAGTGATTGGTCATGTCCATGAGTTAAAGATGACAAGGAAAACAATGACGATGATGAGTAATCTGTTGAACAGTCCCCTCTATAAAAAACAGAATCCTCAGATATTGCTATTGGAGGATGATTTTCCTCTGACAATTCCTGTGCATTGCCCACACTCATTCCATATGCACATCTTTCACTTCCACCAGCATAATCCATATCATCATGGCCACCATACTCCATGATTTCACCACTGAAGGAATACAAACTCCATAAAACAAATCTCAGCAATAATTTATTGTAAGAAATCCCCAACCTTCTCTGAGAAACAAAGGAAAAGTAGTCATGTCTGCATGCAAGCCACTCTGAGAATTAAGAGATTGCATTTCTTGTTTCAGTCCAAAAAATCACCCAAGATAACTAACTGCTCAAGCCTCCAAAATTACAGTAACTACATGTAAATTGCTATTGCAAAAATTTGAAAATGATGAGCAGCATCCTTTGACTTGTTAATTATACTGCAACCAATCAGCTAATACACTTCTATACAGTTGTAACACCACAAGACTAACTTGCACAATGGAGTATTCTCACTACCAGCTCAAAGTCAAACATCAAACAACTTACAGAATAATGTAGAACTTATGGAACTAATGGCATACATGAAGTACTGCACAAGAGTTTAAAAACAGTCAGACTAAGTTAATAATCATCACCTCACATTTTCTTGGTCATCTTTTGCACCCACCAAAACATCACCAGTAGCAGTTCTGTCACACGTAAAAATATGTTTAAAAATTGTTTTAGTATTGCTCAAGACAAGCTGTAGATTAGTTGCACTTGTCTTACTCTACAGCCAACAGAAAAACATCACCATACTAATTCAATTTTTAGAATGATTACAGAAAACTTGGCAACAATTGTTTGATTTTCTACCAAAGTAATCAATAAAAGACATAAATCTGCAAATTAATTCTAAAGCTCTGCCAAACATGAAGGCTCTTTCCTTTACGTGACCTTCTTTTGTTTGAGTAAAAATATTTCTCGAACATGGGATTTCTTTATCAATAAAATTACTCTCTGTAAGGTAGTGATAGTCTATAAAATGGAAATAGCCTTCCTAACTCCTATAAACTTGTTGCTTCTTAACTACTGCTGACAACAGTCACAATAAACACCTCTAATTTAAACATAGTTTAAAACTTTGTTACCATAGTTACACGTGAACCATGCTGCCTACACTTACCCATTGGTGTTACTATCACTTTCCAGTAAAACAAATGTCGTTGGACTAAAACAACATTAGAAACATTAGTCTACACATTACTTATATCAATGTTACTAATAAATCAATGCCAGCGATTTATAGCCTGTTACTCTCAGATGCAAACCAATTAACGGTTGACGTTTAGCTTGTGTATTACTGTTTCAATATTAGATGTTGAGCTGGCCAGGCTTACACAGGTTTACGTTTTTTGTATTTTGAGAAATGAAGTTGAATATTTATGAGTGAAGTCCCAGTCATCTAGTAACTCTATTTAGCTAGAAGGTGCACATATCAATGCATTGTGGAACAAATGTAAAATGAGATTACTTGACATATTAATTAGATACTAAAAATTAAAAATTTAAAATAAATAACTGCATGTATGTATCTTACGCTACAACCTTATATGTCTTAAACAAAATGTTAAAATCAGACAGAAGGGATATACTGGTACCTTTCACCAATCCGTGTCCACACTGGAGAAGCTGAGATTTGCGACTCAAAATACTTTGAGGCTTTGAAACAAAAGTTACTGCAAAAACTCTGTCAAAAACAAAGAACGTTCTAGTTACAACAAATAAAACCCTGTAATGCTGAGATAACACATGTGGAACCCATGGGCATAAAGAACTTTGCTGAAGCATGGTTAGATTGCTATGCTTCAAGGAGACCCCATCCCCAGGCCCCAACCCCCACCCCCAACCACCTTTCTGTCAAAGAATAGTTATGCTGGAATTGATTCAATTGAACTGTGAGGAAAACTGGATAGTTCATGGTTGTTATAAAAGTGCCTATTTAGACATATTGTACAACAACTAAAGAAATACAATTAATTAATTAATTAATTTATGACAATGACATTTTGAACACCTTTAGAGGGATAACTTACCTTTCTTTCTGTGATATCATAAACTCTATTTGTTTTCAAACTTATCCTGTATGTTTGGGATGGAATCTACAAATAAAACGACATCATCAAAGCATCATCCAGCAAGAACTATTTCACCAAGGTCAAACCTAATTGTCCTTGCCCATTTGTATAGGGTTTGACTCACGTGAATCTGGGAAGAATCTGTGATCACATACCAAACGTATTTGATCACAGATTTTGTACATTGTTGTCATGTAAAGCAATCAGCAGAAGAACCCAATGACCACATAACTACTTTACCTGATTCAACTGAGTATTACACAAAGGGTATCCACATTTTTGCGACAGCATTCTTTCTTCTACTACATCTGCATAGTGACTAGTGGTGATGAAATTTCCCTGCAATAAAGAAAAACTTAAGACACCAGACAGTGACTCTGCCAATTTTTCATTTTTATTTTTTGGTAGATTCATAAGGGGTACGAGAAGTGGTTAGCTGAAGACGGACCATTCCTTGCTCAAAAAGAAGGCTTTTGGGGTAAAGATATGCTATTAATTATTGCACGAGGGAGGACAAAAATACTCCATCTCTTCGCTTTTAAGGTGAACTCCCCCTCCCCCGAATTCTCGCCACCTTTCCCAAGAATACAATTAGACTTACTGAATTAACAAGAAAGTCTCTTGTGACTTTATCTTCAAGAACAAGTCTTTCCACTATTTTATGAGCTCGCTCTTCTGCAGCCACTTGCGAACGAATTGAAGTTTCAAGCTCTTTCAACCTGAAACCACATCACGCGAAAATCATAAGAAACAGAGAACAGTTTAATGCATTAAAAAGGCCCATATCCATAACCTTTCGTCACCTTTGTTTATCATCTTTAATTTCTTCACCACGTCCAGGTTTTTTGGCTCGGGAGGAAGACACCTCTGCAAACGATACGTGAGACAAATCACTTAAAACAAATATAAGTTTAATGCTCTTCATTCTTTAACTATACAACCCTCGTACTTGTCTTCCCCGATTGCTTCTTTGGCTTGGGTTGGTTAGACTGCAACACATTCCCTTCCGTCGTGTCGTCCGCCATGTTATTTAACTAGCGAAACCGCTGACAGATTGCTAACTCATTTCATACGATACCAGGCTTCGCGCAAAACAAATTCTTTGGACGCCTGACAATTTTCGTGGTTCTCAACCCTTATCTGTGTCCTGCATCTTCAAAGTATCTTCTTGGTCTCCTTTGAGTTCTCAGCACTTTTTTAAAGGAACGAAAACACCAAAATACGTCATTTCCGTCACCCTTTATTATAAAAAGTTCATAGACTACTTTTTTGGCTTGCAGACCATCTCTGAAAGTCATCGAAAGTCAGTCAGGGCCGCGCCTGAAGAATATTGTATAATGTCACAACTTCGTTTCAATATTGTTTAAATTCCATTTTTAGACCTGGACTCTTAAGTCTCATGGAAAACAGACTTATCTAGCATATCCCAATTTTGTATTGGGGGTGCCTGAGAACTGACAAGCAAGTTCATTTTTACCTAGCCTACTTCCCAACAATAATGAGAAGCGCGTTAGAGACGCTAGACATTTCCCAGCCCGATTCCCCTTTGCCCAAAGTCTATTTCCAAGAGAGCCCGTTCTTTTGCACAATCTCAGCACGATGAATTTAGTGGATCTAGGGCTAGAGACGACTTAATGAGTAAAAAGCGTTACTGACTTGACTGCGTATTAAAAGGTCTTAAAAGAGAAACCTGAGGGCGTTGATTAGACGTAATCCAGGACTACAACAAACTCGTTGCCTGGGAAACAGTGGGCCTTGAAATAGTAATGACAATCACTTATGTGTGTATATTTCACTTAAATCCGGCACAAGATAATTCACAGTTTTTATATTTTTTTCTAATTTTACAATTTATCGAGCATGTACTTTAAAGCAACCAAACAGGTATTACGTGTAAGTAAACCCTTCATAATTCATTTTCTTTCTGATATGATATTTTTTTATATGGCTTCACAATGACTTCAGCCCAGCTATCATATTCTAAAAAGGTACACGAATCTTTGCTCGTGTTTGCTGTCTCCACGGAAGAATGTTACGAAAATGGAAATTCAAGATGAACCTAAACTGAAGTCGCCGCATGGACATACATGAGAACTCCCCAATAGAGGGACGACCGCAGATTACAAGTGACGTGGTGAATATATAACGTTACATAAGCAAAAATGATGATGATGATGATGATGATGAAAATAACGTCGGTGATATGTAACTGAAGAGAAACGTTCCCTCTACTAATTGTGGATACCTTAAAGAAAGCAATAAATACTAATAAAATGAAAATAAATGACTGTATATCTTGGCTACCACCTTATACATCTTAAGTTGCAAAATCTAGAGTTACAAAATATAACAATGAAAACCCGTCACTGAAATGCCAGGTGATGAAGTTACGTAATTTCAACTAAATAACGTGAAAGGGAACGTGAGAATGTTGGATACACGTGATCCACACTCTCAAATGGCAGTGACGTCCTATTCAGATGTTTTTAATGACTCGTCACGCACTCCTCTCCAGCGATTGCGTGACAAGTCCAAAGAGCGTCAGCAGCTCTAGGAGGCTACGTTGAATGTGCATATTTCACTTTGATTCACGACACGCTGACTTTGATCCGGACGATATATTTATTGCATGTACTTCAAAGGCACCCAAACAGTTGTCAATTACACTCAGTTAAAACTTTGTTTTCTTCTTTGCATGATAGCCAGACTATCGTAATCTGAAAAAAAACAATAACAGACTCTGTTGTTTAATACCAAGTACGTGTGAATATTATGAGAATTGAAACGCGAGGAAATTCAGTATGAAGTACCACTTCAAGTGTACAGAAAATCTCCCGGGAAGTGTCACGTGATCATTTGTGAAAAGTTTCAGACCGTAGTTGTGTGCAGTTCAAAGTCCTCATGGACTAGTGCCAGCGAAAAAAGAAACACGCGAACTCGATATGGCAATCAAGGTGAGCACGAATGGTTTGAAAAAATTCCACAATTGAAGTTGTACAATAGTGCCTGTGTATGCAATACCGTAAAGATTCGACTAGCTTAGCGCCTTCCTTACTACAAACGCCCCACGTTCTTGAGTAAAAGTATTTGTTCTTTTTCATTAAAGTATTACATCACATTCAGTCGTGTAAGGTCAATAAGAAATGTGCACCCCGTCCTTAAGAAGTGTCCCGTTTCCAATCAGCGCTCTCTCTTGAGCTACCAAAAGTAAATTAGCGCCTTGTGCGTTTTTCTAGAGCGGGAAAATTTCTGGGCTTCATATTTACAAACGACTAATGGACAATAGTCAGATAACAATACAAAATGTTTCACTATCAGTTTATACGTAATCAAGAGCATTGATGAGGGCGATGTAATTTTTTTATCGGCTCAAAAAAAAAGGGCTTCGCATTTTACTCAATTATAGCACCTGAATTTCGTGTTCCATTCCATACAATCTGTTGGACTTTTGAAATTTGATTCACCTGAGGGCTATCATAGGACTGCTTTCATTTTGTGTTCTCCAGAACTGAACTAGCTACTCTCTATGGGCTCCTCACGCAATATAGAAAGAAACAAATCATTCGTTTACTCCAGAGGGAACGCAAAGGTTGCTTTAAACCTCAGCCCCATACAACACATGCCGTAGCTGTAAACACATCAGGTTTTGAGCATGCGCAGTAGGACGAGACAGAATATACACGTGTGCTTGTATTCGTTAGCTGGAATAAAAAGTTATCTTTCTGATCTTTGCCATAACATTACAGTAGCTGTGGCTGGGACCGCAGAACACAGCCACGCGGCAATGCTTTTGTGTACACTTTGATCTTTGCCGCGTACAAGAAAAGCAGTTCAGCGTGGAGGATAAAAAAAAATATAAAAAAGGCTCAGTTTCCGTAGCCTCACGGCCCTTCAGATAAAATACTTGCTTCAAATGACTCAACGACTAAATCGCTCACTTTGACATGCCGTGATGCTCTCTATAGATGCCAAATTTCCAACAGATGCCAAATTTCAAAACCTTGGTCCGTTATTTGGTACTCATCTTGCGTCGCGGAAAAAATCATTTCCAAGCTTCCATTTCGGAAACTAGGAGCCGAATCACGTTTATTCCTATCCTGACACAAAACACGACAGACAAAGACTAAAACTCAGTTACAATATGTTGTCCCAAGCACTGAGTATTACCACTGATACTGCCGGTAGGTTTTGATAAAGTCATGATTTGCACTAAAAGAGGGGAAGGAAGAAATTAAAATGTGTCGTAGCCCCTTTTCTCTAGAGCTGGGACAGAGCAAAAGTTATTGCCTCTAAAATCAGGTATCCTTATTGTCTTTTCTAGGCATGAACTACAAACAAGCCGGCCGAACTCTGTTCTGGCGACTTTTCAGTTACGTTCAAGCTAAAAATGAAGAAGAAATAAAGATGAAGACAGTAAAAACTGGATAGACTGTATATATGATTGCCTCCTTTACCACGAATTAAAGGTCAACGAAAACAAGATGATAAATGTCGTCAACTTCGCCGGGTCTTTGAGGAAGAAAGGGAACAAAACAGTTATACCGCAACAATATTTACAATTCTCTCAGTTTCCCCGTGTTCTCGTTCGTCAAGTTTAGGAAATACCGCCGAAGAATCGTGAACCCGCCGCGATAAACGCCGATATTAAAGCCATCAACAAAGTCACTTCCTCTGTATGGGATCCCCATTCACTGTAATATGAAATAGCTGATTTAGGCACAAGGAAGTTGCAAACGTTCGTTTATCATATCTTTATCGTTTTTTTAATATGTGTACTTTTCAAAAATTCTGTCAGAGTAGTAGTTGGCCTGAATGAAGTGACATTTTTCCATAAAAGCTTGTTTGTTGTTCGTTGCTTATGGTTCCCAATTAAATGTTCGTCTCACGGTTAGACTTCTTAGTGAGAAGAAGTAAAAGAAATAGCAAACCTTTTCATGACCGCTTCAGTTGCCTGCCTTAAAATGCTGCGTTACACGAGGTAGGCAAAGAAAAAAAGAAAACAAACTGAATCACTAACAACAATAGCCATCTTAGGTTGACAGAATATGGTAGCCACATATCCTGTTTTAGTAGCGATGCAGGTCATTTATCAGACCATGAAAAAAAGAAAAGACAAGAAGGAGCAACTAAAGGATAAAGGCAAAAAAAGATGCCTGCATCGACCTCGTCAATAATGAACACTTCAATCTCTACTCAGAAGTCCTTGAATAACATGAGGCAACGACGTTACTGTCAGCCTTTATGAAGATAACTTAATTTACGTTTTAAGACCTTTGGAGAGCTTGAAGTAAGTTTCATTGAAAAACCTCAGAGGGGAAATATTTTACGTCCAATGAACTGGCACAGCAGGACCATCAAATTCTATTTGTTGAAAGAACAGATTTGAAAACAAATTGTTTCGGAAGAGTAACGTTCCGTATGGGGACTATTGGTATGGCAGGATTTCGCAAAAAAAAAAAAAAAAGAGTCGAGGAACCCTATTGTGTAGCTTCGGATCAAGTAGCTTTTGACCCTTGGGTGATCATTTTTGCATGACTCCAGCCTTGCTATCCTATTCTAAGAGGGTAACAGAATTTTAAGAAAATATCGCCGAAGAAAATATCGACGCATGGACGTATACTTTTCAGCTAGCGACACGTGCCGTTTGCACCTTAAATTTAAGGGGGCACGCGACCACTTTTGGACAAACAGTAAAACGATCGCAGATATAGATAACAAGCAACGCATTGAATCAGTGTTGACATGGTAAGTGAAGAAGTTGCCTTGTCATGAAATTACGTAACATTTCAATTAAATAACGTGAAAGGGAGCGTGAGAATGGAGGTTTCGCGTGATCCAGGCCATCAAATGGCAGTGACCTGGAATGTGCGTCTTCACTTAAGACTTCAAGACCGTATGACCTTGTATCGTCAATTTATTTAATGTGTTGGTATGTTCTTCATTTTTCAAGTAAACTTTAAAAAATTGTTTTCTACCGAAACAAGCTTGCGTGCATGACTTTAGCCTGGCTATCATATTCTCAGTGAAAAGCTTATAAAAGACTGTCTGTTGTGTCCACGTGCACATAAATGTTATAAGAAAATTAAAACCCGAAGAAATTCAATATTAAGTCGCTCAAGCACGTGCGCCGGAATTCTCCCGGGAAGTGTCACGTGACGTTTTGTTATAAATTTGCACACCGTGTCTTGTCAGTGTGCAGTTCAAAGTCTTTACACGTCAGTGTCAGAGAGGAGAAAACAAGCGAACGTCACTCAAGGTGAGTACAAACTAAGACAAAAGTTTTTGTTACCCTCGGCCTTAAGCACTTTTATTCTAGAAGTACTGAAGTTGAAGATGCTCCGGTAATAATTCCAGAGTATGTCGACCTATGCCATTTAAGCAATTTACCGGCAGCGAAAGAGCTGATGTCCTTCTTCCGGCCGGCCTTCTGTAGTTGAATGCGTAATAAGTTACGTAATCCATAACGAACACTGTTAGTTTACTGTTATAAAGGTGACTGGATTCTTGTATGGAGTCGAAGTGGATATTGGAGGGGACAATGTTTGAATAGCTTGCTTCTTAACTTAAATTGTGATTTGTTTATAATCACTAGCCATCTTTATAGCATTACTTGAGCTGGTTAGTCGATATACAGTTTTCCTGTTCAGTTCCTGCGTAACCCGTATAACTGCAACAGCATATAAGGGAAAGCAGAAAACAGTATGGAGGGCGGGAAAATTTCCGGGTTTCAAAGATCATTTAATAAACCGATGACTCTCCCTCACAAGCATCTATAAATTGACCATAACATGACATAGCAATGAAAAATAGTATAACAAAACAAAATGTTTCAGTTAATGCAATCAAGAGCACGGATGAGTGTGATTTAGTTTTTGAGTGCGGCTTCGAACAAACGCCGGGTTTAACTCGGCTATCGTGTCATGCGTTTCGTGATCCATTGCATGAAAACCCTTAGAAGACTTATTTGAAATATTAATTCACCCGAGCTAGGGCTATCGGAGGGACAGCTTTTGGGTTCCTCACGCAATGGTCCTTGTCAACAGCGGCTTTCCCCGACGCCTCACGGTCCCTCAGGTTAAAGCTCCTGCTTCAGTTGACGCGTCGACTAACGCACTTTGATGTTCTTTATAGATGAAGGTGGTTGGTTTACTACTCGTGGTTTTCCTGGTCTCTACAGAGGCCAGATTTCCAAAACTTGGCACGTTATTTGGTAAACTTGGTATTCCATCTACCGCCAAAAAAGTCATGTCCAAGCTTCCATTTCGTAAACCAGGAGCTGAATCCGCGACACCCTATGCTGAACCATCTGCTAAGAAATCACCTCCAGCATTCTGTGACTCGCACGACTGCCCTGAATTTTATGAAGTGAAGCAAGACGCGACAAGCTACACGTTGCGATGTTATCCTAAGCCGTATCGCTGGGTCTCCACCTCTGTTACTGGTGAGGTTTTGATTTGGCCATAATCTGTACTGTATTTATACAAGAACGAGAGAGGGTATAATTTCTAAGAGTGTCTTAACCCCTTTTTTCTTGGAGCTGAGCAGATCGATTTTGATTTTGATCGATCGATTTTGATTCCAAATTTTTGCTTTTGCTACATATAACGAAATACATTTTAAAAGTACGCCGTTAATATTGAATTTTTTTCCTGGGACATCAGTGCAACTAATCACGCATCAGGAATGGCACGGAACATTGTCGTCCCCAATGCTACTCGTTTTAAAGTGTTTTCAGGAGACCCGAAGAACGGAAGCTCTGGGGACGAGAATGGGCAGGTTGAGCTTGCTCGTACGCGCGCTTGCATCGCTGGTGAATACCAGGGTTATTTAACATAATATGTTTGCCTTTGAAGTCATGTGTCCTTGTCATCTCTTTTATAGGCAGCAACTACAAACAAGTCGGTCGAACCGCGTTCTGGCGACTTTTCAGTTACATTCAAGGTAACAACGAAGAGCAAATGAAGATTAAGATGACAGTGCCAGTTACAATGCAAATCCATCCAGACACGAAACCCGAATCCTTCAGCAAGAACGACTATACCATGAGCTTCTTCATCCCGTTCAAACATCAGAAAGATGCCCCTGCTCCGTTCGCTGAAGATGTCCAGCTGACAGTCGTGCAGCCGTTTTGCGCCTATGTCAGGGTGTACGGAGGTCGCTCTAATATCACCATGATTGAAGAAAACTACAAAGCCCTCGTGGAAGATCTGAAGACGAATGGTCTTGGTGATGACTTCCGTACAGATATGATCTATTCCGCCGGGTATAACGACCCCAAGAGCGTAAAGCAACACAACGAAATCTGGCTCGTTAGTAAAAGGCAAAGCCCGGCTCCTCTTCCTGAAAACGAGAAAGCTCAGTCAACGTTTGGCAAGTACTTTGGAAAGATATTTGGTAAATTGTCATTCAAAGATATTGATTTTCCTTCCATGGCAAAAAAAGTCATGTCCAAGCTTCCATTAATCAAACCAGGAGCAGAATCCCCCGAGCCCTCTACTGAAACATCCGTGAACAAATCGTCTCCGGCATTCTGTGGCTCAAACGACTGTCCGGACTTCTATGAAGTAAAGCTGAAAGCGACGGACTACACTTTGCGATGTTATCCTGAGCGGTATCGCTGGGTCTCCACAACTGTCACAGGTAAGCCTCTAATTGAAGTACTGCCGCATTTTGCATTAAAAAGGATGAAGTGTTAATTAGAGTATTTAAGCTCCTTTGTCAGGAAATAGAATAGAAATTGGGGGTTTTCAATGATCAATCATCTCGCGCTAAAACCGCGCGTAAACTTCACTAAGCGAATGATTATACCCCGTCCTGCTAGAACAATCCATTCTTTTTCAATTCGTTGTATGAAAAGCTCGTTAAAGTAGGTCAATGCGCTTATGTTAATACACACTGTTGCTCCCTCAAACCATGGTTATTTTCAGACCAAACAGCTCAAAAAAATGTAGCCTCATCGGGTGTAGGGTGGGGGAGGGGGGGGGGCGAATATACCTATATCTCTGTCACTTCTCCTCGGTCCAAGAGCATGTGGTCATGCCTACATTGGTAGTAAAACCCCTCTCTTGTTGAACACATAATGCAATTATTATCATTAGTGAAATCATGTATTTTTTTGTCTGGTTACTAGGCGAAGAATCCAAACAAGCCGGTAAAACTGCTTTCTGGCGGCTTTTCCGATACATCGATGGTAAAAACGCGAAAAAAATGAAGATAAAGATGACAGTGCCAGTAGCAATGCAAATCCAACCAGTCGCAGAATCCGATTCCTTCTGCAAGAACAACTACACCATGAGCTTCTTCGTCCCCTTCAAACATCAGAAAGATGCCCCTGCTCCGTCAGAGGATAGTGTCCACCTGACTGTCTTCCAGCCATTTTGCGCCTATGTCAGAGTGTATGGGGGCTATTCAAACATGAAGAGGGTCGAGCAACACTACAATGAGCTGGTGAAATCTCTGAAGAGGGATGGCCTGGGCGAGGAGGATTACCGTACCGATGCAATTTATTCAGCTGGTTATGACAGCCCCTGGAAGTTCTTAAACCGACACAACGAAATATGGCTCATTAGCAAAAAGCAAAACCCAATCGAGGAAGAAGTCGAGACCCTGTAAACTATAAACGATTGTTGTACTAAATAGCAAAAGACATATACGCTGAAAGATTTTTCTTAACAACAAATGAAACAGCATATCATTATGTCGTGTCACCTGCAGACTTATGTTAACCTGAAAATCTTCGTGCCTCTCTTTCAAGATAATTTAGTTTTAGCCTAATTACAAGTGTAACTTGTAAGCCCCACATGTACGCACTGCGAACCTAAGTCTCATAACAACAAGCTGAACAACATATCTTCATGTGTTACCTGCAGACTATTCAGTTTTGTCATACACGGGTACAGAGTAGTTTACACGCATGCCTTAATTTTCTCGTTTTTTGTCGTTAGTATTGTTTCTCATTCAACTTTGTGTATAGCTTTTGAAATAAAAAATATACCATTAATTACCCAAACTGTTAGCTGTTGATGACTGGCTAGATTAACTTACGGAGTCGGGGATAGATGGGTCGATGCAGATGAAAACTGACTACTGGGCTTGAAACCAAGGGGAGGAGCTTCTCTATAACATTAATGAGTGTACTGGTCTAACATTTAGCGAAGTACCGGAATCTCCTTTTTGTCATTTTCCCTCCCAAGAGGTACCAGTTCCAAAATGGCAAATTAAAATGTTGCTGACCGTTTCCTACTCGATAAGCCAAGCTTACGGCTTTCTCCATCAAAAGGCCATTACTACTTAAGATTGAGAGGCGTAAGCGTATTGAGTAATCGACGTGTTTACGACGACTCCCTTCATTTTTAGGGCAAGGTCTTAAGATTCCGATTGCTTGAATTAATTGTACCAGGAGGCCATAAATATCACACAGCCCACATCCAGCCTGCAGAACAGGTAGTTCCACGGAGCAGATCGCGGAGCTCAATACACCAGTTCCAAGCTGGATTGTGAGCGCGGGGCGTGAAAAAACGCGACGATTAATATAGGATAGGGCATAGGGCAAAACCTGAAGAAACATTACATAAAGTAGTCCCGCAAGTACATAAATGTACACATGCGGGAAAGTAATAAAGAAATATATGAACGTGGTACAGGAACACGCCCAAGGCCTTAACTGGCCTTTACTACCGTTTTAAAGGCACAACCAGTAAAACCGCTGTTATCTTAATCGCAGATTTTGAGATTACTTTGTTTCTATTAATATCAATCAAACTGCTCAAAAACGAAAGGTTTCGAAAGCACGCGCTACTAGATTTAAAGGAGCTACGTCACGGTTTGCCCATATTGAAAAGTTTAGCCTCAATTTTTCAAATTCCTCGTTTGCAATCCGTGTCAATCTTCTCCATCCTTAGCCATCCTTGTTCCTTTATGGTTTATCATTATCTCATTGGTATTTTTCTATCTTATTAAACTGTTATTTTCAGGTTTCATACCATTTAAAGGTAATTTTGTATGTGGCCAAAATAACTCAAAATACCGTGACTGAGCCCCTTTAAGTAATCCGTCCACAGCGTGATCTCTCAGACAAACACTCGATAGGCTCGTTTCTAAAAACAGGATTTCGCGGAGAAAAACTTGATGCCCGCAGCTGAACAGCTCACCTTAATTTACTGCGAGCAATATCTCGTTTGTATGAAAATCCATGAGGACATGAGAACGAAAAACAAGTGAGCGTGTGAGCGTGACGGCGAGCGTGACATGCGGGCGACGTAGACACGCTCGCAGTCAACGCTCGCACGCTCACTGTACTTGTTTTGCGGTCCACCCCACGAATTTTCAAGCAAAAGAGAGACTGCTCGCAGTCTAAGTTCTTCGTAGTCCTAGTTATCGTTATCTTCGTGTAGCGAACGAATATTAGGTGATTAGTGACGTGAGCAAAATGAGCTCCACCGAGTTGCTGTTGCCAATATTCTCCGCATCCGCTTGCGGGTTCTCAGCTATCTAAGAAGCTATGACTGATCCAAATATACAATAAGGTAAACACGAGCGAATTAAACAAACGTTCCCCGAAAAACGTGACTCATCATTTTAAAACTTGACACTACTGACAGTAAATTTGATGTTGTTGTTTCGCATATTGTAGGAAGCGAGGACTGGAATTTACCTAGAGAGCTAGAGTTCCTGTAAAAAGCGTGTCGATTCTTATATTTCTCCTCAATTTATGTCGACTCATGATTGGCAGCCTGATTTTCTCCCCTTCCCGGGTCGCGGGGGTGCGATGACATTAAAGATATTCTGGGCTTGTTCCGAGTGTTCTTGATCCACTTCCATTCCTAATTTTCCAGAACTTATGTCATAGCTTATACATATCGTGGATAACAGTTTTCTTGTTTCTTGGCGGCGTGAAATTTACAAACGGACTTAAATATTTTGTACGCTTTCACGAAAAGACGATCACAGCAACAAAAATATCTCCTTAAATTTCAAAACACGTGTGGTTGGTCACGAACGAACTTACCGCCACGTGTGAAGTCACGTTTTTCGTTGAGATGGGTTTGAAATCACATGACACATTACAAAACATGCAATATTTATAAACCCTGGAACAACCGCACCGGGACTCACTCACGATAAGGAGTGGAAAACTCGACATCCGAGTAACGTTTCATTCCAGTTGAGAACTGTTCTATACGGTAAGATTAGTTAAGACAGCTTTTAGCTTTTATTGGCTTTTCGAGGAGTGTTAATGAACTTCCGAATGCAAAAGAATTCTTTGTTAACTATTACAAATTATGCATAAATGTTTCGCATTATATAATTTTGCAGTAAGTCATGCAGTAAGTAATCACGAAATTTCGTATCTGCAGAGTTGACTTCGGTTGTAACTGTTCTCAGTGTGAGCGAATTGACTATAGTCAGTTATGAAAGAGAACGAGTTAAATTTATTGCAGAGGCATTTCAGATTCAAGGAGGTTAGATTTTTGTGTATTAGTTGCGTAACACTGTCAATACTACTGTATCTCTTGATTGTAGAGTTGCAAAGGACGAGCATGCTAATCTAGGTCCTATTAGGGTTTAATTTTTTTTCGGGATACATGATATTTTTATAAAACGTTAGCGGGACACAGGATGTTTGGGCGACAAAGTTACGGGATATTAAGATTAGATAAAAATCATCATCGACTATGATAATTGTTAGGTTTTGCAACGTATTGGAATTTAATTACGGGATGCGGGATATTTAACGGGATGTGGAATACTCAGACCCCCCTAATGAGGCCTCAATCCACTATTATATTTTTAACGCCAGTTATTATAGTCGTTCTCCGCAAATGTTTGGAGTGTACGTTTTCCGATTCGTTTTCCCGGTTCTAAAAGCTCCGTCAGTAGGGCAAAAGCTGACTTGTTTATACTTAAGTAACAATAAATTAGGATTAGCATGTTATAAGAGAGCAAATTTATAGCAATGGCATTTGAGATTTAATTGTTGGATTTTTTTTATGTCTCAATCTCCCTTAATTATAGCCTGTAGAACAAGGGATACGGAGAGAGAAGAGCGCGGATGCGTCATACAGTTACGTAGTTCGTGCGGAGTGTATTTTGAAGAATAGAACACAGGCCGCGCAAGCTCTTGACTGTCAGTAGTCTCTCTTTTCCTGCTCGAAAATCCACAGGGAAGAACGCCAACGAGCAGTTCGTTCGCGTTTCTGTCCTCAGGGATCTTTTGAGCAAAAGAGCTTAGGTATGCATTATGTCACTGTTGATTCAATAGGGGCTTTGATGGTATGCAACGAACGTTTTGTAGACTTTGTTTAGTCCTAAATATGTCAAAATCACATAAAATTATTATTGTATAATGAATTTCCCATACAAAGTCTATTATATAAAAGGCGTTCGTTGCGTAACAACAAAGCGCGCTATTGAATCAACAGTCTATACTTGGGCCGCTTGAAAACAGCGTGTCTACGAAAGTCCTCCGTCCGACTGACCTGGTTTGTATTGTTTTCAGATGCAGATCACACTCGCTGTTCTAGCACTTGTGGCACTGTCTTTTGGTGAAGCCAAACCAATCTTGGAAGAACCCAAATTCTGCAACGATCTTGAATGCCCGCACTTTAACACCATCAATAAGACTGACAAATATGAAGTCCGTTCCTATCCAACGCCCTACAAGTGGGTGTCAACAGTAGTAGCAGGTAGGAAATTTGTTCTTTTTGTTTCAGCGGTTTACTCTTTCCTGTTATATCCAGCTAGACAAAACGGTCGAAAACTGAGTGATGCAGTACCGAGTAACGGAGTAACGAGGGAACGAGTAACGAGTTAAAATTTCAAAGGGTTAAAATTTAGCTTAAAATCGACTGAAACAGATAGGAAGAAAGAGAAGAACCTTGACAAGTCGCGGAAAGGCATTTCGATACGCTTTTGATTCATGTAACGGGCCGCCTGCATCATCTCATGTACGTGATACCGCGCCGAAGGAAGGACCCGTATAATACATTTTTTTTTTCTGTCAGAGAACGTTCTAAACGTATTCCAACCTTCACTGTCTTGTTTTTGCCAGGTTATGAATATGACGAAGCAGTTAGAATGGGTTTTATGCGCCTGTTCAAGTACATTGAGGGTGCAAACGTGAAAAAGATGAAGATCCCCATGACGGTGCCAGTTGCTGTGGAAATTCAGCCAGGGCAGGGTCCCTTCTGCAAAAATAATTTCACTATCAACTTTTTCGTTCCTTTTGAGGATCAAGCTGATCCAGCAGCCCCCACTGAGGAAGATGTTTTTATCTCAACCTTACCAGCGATCACTGCTTATGTTAAGGTGTATGGTGGTTACTCGAACCTTGATCTTGTTCAGAAGTATTCCGAAGAGTTGGGCGAGGACCTTGTTAAAGATGGGCTTGGTGACACGTTCAGAAAGGATGTGTTTTTCACTGCTGGCTACAACAGCCCTTTTAAACCGATAAATCGCCATAATGAGATCTGGTATCTCAGGAAAGATTCTGTTGCCAAACCTATCCTAGTCTAAATAAAACTGATTGAACTGTTTCACGCTACAGCGAACTTTGTAGAAACCGGTATTTCAACAAAGTGTAACATAGCATCAAAAAAGTAATTAAAACTCTTGTATTCCTTGTCTACAGACTTCAGACTTCAGACTTCAGACTTTGCATTTGTCGATCATGCAGTTCTTTGAAAGCAAAGATAAAATGAAAAACGTTATGGCGCTTCCATCTTTTTTCTTTCCTCCATAACCCCCTCGCTCCTCCGTTATCTCTCAGTGGGATCGCCGAGCTTCAATGTTCTTTTTTTACTTTCTCCTCCCCTCCTATCCCCATAAAAAAATTTTGCGCGGAAATGTTTTCTTCCCTGTGTCTTTATTTCTCGTTTGTTGAGCGGCCCAATCCATTCACCACCTACTCTAGTTCATATGGTTTTCTGATTCCTGGGTTAATCAAGGGCTAGTGAGTTGTGTTTATGAGTTCACAGAACGCTATGGATCTTCGGCGTGTATCTATATATCCGGTCAATTTAATCTTGGCTATAGTGTGTCATAAACCAATCCAAATCTAGCCTGCAACGAAACTCGAGAGATTCGCTCTTTCGGTTTGCGAAGCAAGGTGGTACTCAACAGTACTCAATTAACACTCGCACGCGTAACTAGGCCAGTTACCCTTTGTCACGCCCACAATAATACTGTAACCTTCACAGAATACCGCCTTGACTTGCAGCCGCCCTAACTTTAGAAACGTTACTGCCAAGTTACTATCCACGCTCCTAAAAAGGTTTACTTCAGGTTCTAGTACTTTTACAGTTTCACGCAACGCCTCTCCCCGCTATGCGTTGCCCGAGGCAGTCTCAAAAAAACCCAGCGCCGACATTCTTTTGGCTCGTCGCGCACCCCTTGGAGAGGAATGCGTGACGAGTCCAAAAGTTCTTTCGTTCCAGTCCTCTGCACATACCGGCAATGCCCTGCGACAATGGCAACACGAAAACCCAGTTATTCTCGTGTTCCAAGTGTCAACTTGAGTAAGCGTTCCAGTTTATCGTCGTATAATTCCGATGACTTCTTCAAGGAACCTTCACCGGGTGGTACTGATGGCGAAGCAGGAGATGGAATCTGGAACACAGCAAGGAGAAAATTTACTCTGGTGGCCCTGTGCCTTGTTTACTTCGCCGCTACTGCGTCATTCGCGATCCTGTCTCCCTTCTTTCCCGGCGAGGTAAAACTTTTGGGAACCAATCCTTTCGCCCGAAACGACTGTTCGCCCGATGTCAGTGCGCCTGGACTTAAAGTTCCAACGAAAGATGTTCTTAAAATTTCTACTTTTTTTACAGAGGCTTGGCGAACGAAAAAGACAACCTTGTGGGCATACAGTAATTGAAACAAAATTTTTACACGAAGCTTGTTTATTTCTCGTTCTTAATCCCTTGACCACGCAGCTAACAGTCCGGGCGGATTGACTGTCAGTCCTGGAAAACTGGCATCGGGCGAACTGGTTTTCGGGCGAAACGACCACAAATCTGTCAAATGTTCAAACTTTTTGAGCCTCATCAACTATCGCTTCAGAAATCGAGAGCGAATAATCTAATTGTTTTAGTAGAATTCTAACTGAAATTTGCTTCAAATAACGATTCCAATTATTTCTGCTCTTAGTATTAAACTTCACGCTTCCTTTAGAGAATTTACACGGACTGAATTGTGAATTTGACATTTGCAGTTGTGTACGCGCGCTTATCAGTTTCTGTCAAATAATTCGAGCTTTTTAGTTCAAGAAACCGAAAATTCCCTCCTCTTAGTCTTCTCAGCTATTTGATTATCTATTTGTTTCTAACTGTTCTTTCAAAACTTCGGAGGAACGAGGAAACGTTGCAATTTTTTTCGACCAAACCAAGCCACTGCACACTTATGGCTGATAGTGTGCAATAATCAGATTACAGCATTTGCATTAGTATACTGGTGAAATTCTACCAACAAGGCCTCATCAACTATCACCTCATAGAAATCGAGAGCGAATAATCTAATTGTTAGTAAGAAACAGGTGTGCTGGAGTACAAAAGAAAGATTGTCATGGCAAGATAATCTCCAGTCACACAAGCCATACAGTTGAATTGTTCCAAGAAAGCAAAATGCCTAACAAAGATCATATCATTGAAAATACTTTTGGGCCTAACACACTTTAATTTAGCTTATGTATTTTCCCCAACTTCAATTGTCACTGTGCCAAAAGCACTCCTTTCACCATTTCTGTGCCATGCTCTTTGTCACTTAGGTACTGCCCACATTTTTTTGTGCCCACTAAGAGGATGGGGAGTATAACGTAACAAGCTATTGCCATGACAATTCTGAGTATTTTCAATGTAATTTTGCATATAATCAAAACTATAACAAAATTCTCAAATGTGATTGGCTATCAGCAGCCCAATTGGAGCATTAATTGGACAGTGTATGCGTCATGCTTGTAATTGGACAGTACGTGTCATTTTGCGCACCCTGTTGCAGTGCACTTTGTTGAGTAAATGGCTGTGTTTTTCAACATTCATCACGACGTTTAATCGTTCAGTGATCAATCGATGGTTTGTTCGTTTCTCGAATTTTGTCATAGTTTTGATTAATTGGTAACAGGACATCGTGTCGTCCAATTCAGTCTGTAATCATACTCGCGATTAACAAATCGGACTTCCGCTTTGCGGTCGTCCGATTTTGTTAATCACTCATATGATTACAGACCGAATTGGACTCCACTCAGTCCTATTACCATTATTAATAAGCTTAATACCTTATTTTAGCCACCCAGTAGATTTTTGGAGAAGTTTCGAAATACCTAGCAATTTTTTTAGGTTTCTGGCACAATTTTGCTGTTTTCCTAAAACAGCCTGAGTGTTTGTAACAGTTGTCACCCAGCAACTTCCTCCCTCCCTCAAAGCATCTTGCAGACACTAACATCGGTCCTTTTCAAGAATCATTCCTGATTGAAAATGGTGCCCAATCTTCATGGCTTGCAAGATTTTTCAAAGAGTTCCAATTATAAGACTGTTCTTTCAAAGATCATTTTAGTGGTTAAAAGACCTTAGGGAGGAGATTTTAAAGATCTTGGAGAAGATCTGAGCGAAGATCCTTGAGGATCTTTGTAGTTTGTTCAAAGAGACTTCTTGAGAGATCAGTGGATTTTGTCCTGAGGGGAACAGTGAATTCTCACTTTTCCCCAAGGGACCAGTCATTAAGTGATATGTTACATAGCAAAACAAGTGGGTCAAACCAGTGGAAAACAAATAATCACCTTATTGATAAATGACTTGCAACAGCAGTCAACATTTCATGGGTAGCAGTGAACTGTTTCCCGTTCGACATCATAGTTTTTGCAATGTTGCCCACTCATGGCATTTGGGTGTGGGAAACAGTTTCATTGTTAGATGTCATTTGACCATGAACTAGCCTATGAATGGGTGTGCTGTAGCAGAAAAAACGCCAGCTATATAACAATATTAATTTCATTATAGTATTTCTCCTTTGATTCTTACACATTGGAATATTTGACCATAATTTAACACTAGAAAATTATAAATGAAAACAAAAAGTATAAAGTGTAATGACTGGACCGCAACAAATTATCCAAAGATCCTTCAAGGAGATCACTAGGGTCTATTTCCTCTCATGAATGATAATATTTGCATATAATGAACTTTGTGATACTCCTGCCTTCAAGTCTTTTACAATGAACTACAAAATTCTTCCACTAGATGTGTTTTTTTTACACTAGAACACCACCTTACTGCCACCTTGTTAATACGATCACCTTGTTATTACAGCCCCTCTACACTTGCCAGAACAAAAGCTCAGTTAGTCAATTTCTTATTCAAAGAACCCCATGGTCACTCTGTTGATACGGCCATATTTTGTGGCCTATTGGTGACCGGATTAATGGGGTTCCACTTTATATTACAGGCTCAAGAGATGGGTGCGTCAGGTACCATGATTGGTCTTATCTTTGGAATCTATCCCTTGGTGGTTTTTGTAGTGGCACCATTAATAGGAGTCTTGGTGAGTCTAATGTTTGGATGTAATTACGCACTTGGTTTATGTACTTGGTTAATATTATGAAGATACATTCAAGAAAAAGTTTAGTGTAGCAGCACACAAAGAAATTTTGGAATGCAATCCAGAAAGGGTTCAGAAAGTTTTCAGTATTTTTAGCTATGATCATTTCAGTCAAGACACCTAGTGGTGCCACTCTGTTAGGACCTTTTGCAAGTAAAGAAGGAAAAATTGGCAAATTTAAAGCAGCATATCTAAAACCTACAGGATCATGTCTACCAGTAACCATGAATGGTTGGCTGATTTTATAAACTTTACTTCATTTCTAATTTAAATTTAGCAGGAGCCTGTATTTCAAAAACCATATCATTTAGTCATATGGCTCTTTTACTAAATTTAATACATCTTACTCAAACTGAACCTACTTTAATTTTTTTTCCACAACATTTAGCTTCCAACTATTGGTCCAAAGTTCACTCTGACGGCAGGACTTTTCCTGTGCTCTGGGTCACAGATATTATTTGGGTAATTCAGTTATGCAACCACTGTCCTGTTATTTTAATATTTAAAAAGTCTTGCAAGGTTTCATTTACACCTTAGTTGGGGTTTACAAAAATAATTGAATTGCAGCTTGCCCTTAGGACAATAAGCTCACTAATTTTGCCCACCCTGGGCAAGTCTTAGCTTCTTTGCCTGGCAGGAAAATCTACTTGCGTGAACAACTGGACAGATGTTTTTTTTTTTGAGTTTAGTTAGTTTCTCCTAACTACACCATCACCCCAAAATCCTAACTAATATTGCATGATAAGTGTACATATGTCCAAATTTGTATTCACAGTTTCATACACAGCCTTTATTACTGAGCAGACTTTGGAACTTACAGTGATAACACAGATTGGACAGTGCACAATCCTGTCTCCTGCTGAGTAAAATAATAATAAAAAGGTACAGGACTTTTTACAGGCAGAGTGTGCTAACAGAGCCTTGCATTAAACCAATATCTTCCTTTTATGACAGAATGGCACAAAAGTAGACAACAATGCTAAATAAATTCCATTGAGTTCTGATTAATGATAAAGAATTTTAATTAAATATTCCAGCCAGTAACTTTTTTTCTAATTAATAAATGCTTTTGTTTACTCTGAGCTTTCCTTTTTAGATTTGTATCAATGCTTCCTAAAGGCACAGTTTTTGTGGTGTTCTGTTTTCTTCTTCGTGTTGTGACAGCACTTGGTGGGGCTGCTGCAGATACTGCCTCATTTGCAATTGTGGCTGGAGAATTTGGTACCAATATTGGAAAAGTGACGGTATGTAAAGGCTACTCAAGTAAGGACTGGTTCTCCTTTGTCATGCCCAAACATGCCAAAATGTTGTCAGTTTATCAATGTAATGTACTCTTGCCAAAAGTGACAAAGGTGTTATCAAACTTCCTATTAAGGTGACTCACCTGGTACCAGGGACCATTCATGACTAAGAGTCTGCTTATGGGATGTTTTACCATTAAGAATTCTCCTTTAGAGGAGGTTCGACTAAATATATTTTGTATTAAGCATGGTGTTTGCATTTATGTACTTGCCACAAAGTTAGTTAATTGCTGGAAGAAGATAAATTATTATGCTTTTGCCTCAAGTTCTTATTGGTAGCAGTTTGGCTCCCCAATTTTTTTTTTTTTCCAATTTTCATGTTAACTTATATAAGTCATTACAAATATTGTATTCTTTAAATTCCCTGTACAGTGGAACCTTGTTAATCTGGTCACCAACGGGTCACAAAAATCTGGCTGTATTGACAGGATGGCCATATTAAAGGGGTTCTTTAAATAAGAAAATGACTGACTGAGCTTTTGTTTGGGCCCGAATAAAGTGGCTGTATTAATGGGGTGGCCGTATTAACAGGATGGCCGTAAAGCAGGGGTTCTACTATTCTATGTTATTGCTGCTGTTCTAGGATATTTTTTGTATTTTGTAGGGAGCCATGGAAACATTCACTGGGCTTGGCTTCATGTTAGGGCCTCCCTTAGGTGGAATCCTTTATTCAGTGAGTCAGATGAATTGATTCAGTGCATTAATTATAATTATAATTATTAATTATAGCATTAATTACTGTTACTTCCCCTACCTACTGGCAGACATTTCAGTGTTAATTTTATTTCAGGCAGGAGGATTTAAACTTCCATTTATTGTGATGGGTGGTCTTCTTTTGTCCATTCTCCCTGTGGTTTTAGTCATTTTGCCAAAAGATGAGAGTAAGTATTCTTTTGATGAGATTGAGTTCAGCATAGTTCAATTCCCTTTTCAGTTGCAATTACTCACTGGCTTTAACCGCTGCTTCTTTCCTTGTAACTCCTTTGTATATCTCCATCTCACCTCACTCCCCCATACCCCCTCCCCTTTTTCTTCCTCATCTTCTTTTCCATTCCCTCCCTTCTTAACTCTCCCCTTCTCCCCTTCCCTGGCTTCTTCTCTACTGCCTTCTAATTTCATTTTTGTTTCACATCTTATTCCCTTGTTCTATTTCTCAACTCTCCTCCCATTCTCCTTTTCCACTTTCTTCTCTTAATTTTAAACCTCCTGCTCCCATCTCTCTTCTTTTTTCTTCTCATCTCCCTACTCCACCTTTTTTCCTTCTCTTTTACACCATTTTCCCTCCTTTTCTCTCTTCTTCATCTCATTTTCCTTACCTTTTCAACCCCTGTTGTCTTCCCCTTCCCCTTTTCTCCTCCTCCTCTTCTCTTGTCTCATCTCCCTCCCCTTTGCAGCATCTTCTTTTCCTCTCTCCCCCTCCCCCAATCTCCCCTCCACTTTCAGTTGAAATGGTGTCATCAGGCATTCTCAATTCATCAGTCTTTGCAAGGGCTGCTTTATTGTACCTTCTACAGTGGTGATTGAAATTCCTTCTGTAACACTAGTAGCACACTCATTGATCTGAACACCATTTTGTTGACAAATGAATAGGATGTTGCCAAAATCAGGTGACTGTGTGTTAATTTATTTAAGTAAACACAAAGTCTGACTGCGCTTTTCCAGATTTCCTGAGAGAGACGAATTCTGGATCATTACTACAGGCAACAAAGATTCCAGGAATTTCCATGATAGGTACATGTGTTGATATGCACACCACATCCTTTAGTAACTGTCTGTTCACAAATCTGCACTGCTGGTGTTCGTTAGGTAAAACGAGTGTTTCTGTGCACAAGACTGAGTTGCCATCAGCTTTTTCATACTATACACTAAATATTACATATGAATAGTGCATATAAACATGTAATTTCAATTTTTTGTTGTTATTATCAGGGTTGTCTATTCTTGTATCAGGACTGATACTGGGCTATTTAGATCCGACGTTTGCACCATATATGAAGAAAGTAAGTGAACTATCAATGCATGGCATTGACAAGCACCGTTTATATGCAGGCTGGTGACAAAGTGTGTGTTTTCAGCCTGTAACATTTTGTTGTAAACTGGAGCAGAGCATTTTGGGCAGTTATTTAATAGAGGAGATCAAGTCAGACCCAGTTTATGACACACATAAGGTTTCTTTAAGAGGAATCTCTCAGGCTCCGTCCACACTACGCCGGAGTAATTTGAAAACGCAGCTTTATTTCTACGTTTAGGCCACCGTCCACGCTAATCCGTCACCAAGACGGAGCTTTTCCAAAACGCCCTCCAAACCGGAGTAATTTGAAAACGCCGGCTTTACGTTTAAGTGTGGACTGAAACATTTTGAAAACGAAGCTTTTCAAACACGATTCCGTCCCAATAATCTTGTCATTTCCCTGCCCAAGTTTTCCTCAAACACAAAATGAAATCTTAAATGACCGCCGATTGTCAGTTGCGTTTTCAGATTTCTCCGAAGTAGTGTGGACGGAAACATTAGGTGTGTTTTCAGATTGAAAACACCGTTTTCAAATTTATCCGGCGTATTGTGGACGGGGCTTTAAAGGAGCTCAGTCAAGGTATTTTGGCCACGTACAAAGTTATCTTTAAACTGAAGGAAACCTGAAAACAGTAGTTTGCTAAGATAGAAAAACACCAAAGAGATAATAATAACCATAAAGGAACAGGTATGGTTAAGGATGGAGAAGTTAAACACGGATTTTAAACGACGAACTTGAAGAATTTAGGCTAAACTGTACAAGATGCGCAAGCCGTGAGGTAGCGCCTTTAAGGACTCTCTTTGAAAGCCTTGTTCTTACGTGTGATTCTACCTTGAATCCTGCACCCAGTGCAAGTGAGCAGCCTCCCAAGTGATGAGCGCCGCCCATGTGCTCAACTTTACAGGTATTTTGTAGTTTCATTTCCAGCATGCCGGCAATAAGACTATGTAGTGTAAAACGTACAAACAGTACGCAGGCACTGATACCCGCGGTAAATTGAACTCCGAAGCCATCAATTTCAAGATAACAGACAGCGTGAAGGTTTCGAGCACTTTGCAGCGTTCTTAGAAGGCAGTAACAGGTGGACTTCCACTATCTGTCAAGACAAATGTAGCGGCGTGTTTTGGCTTGAATATACAACGCTTGTCTAGAAAAACAAACTTATGTATAATCTTATGTAGCCGCTAGTTACTTATCTTTAATCACCTTTTCAAAACTGCTGAGAACACTGAAGTTTATCCTCGCCACCGAATAGTCACCGGGACCAAAAGTCAGTACAGGCTGCGTCAAATGTAACCCTAAACCCTAACCCTGTCACTTTGCATCAGAGGTATAGAAGAACTAGGCTTAACGGCGAACTGCGCACAATATAACGACTTGGCATCAGAGGCATACTAAGGAGAACCAGGCTTAACTACGGAATACGCACAATATCACGTGGGCAGGCTGCAATTCAGATAGGCTGTGTTCAGTACTGAAGTTTGTGATCATCCGTTCTTCTGTACTGTTTCTTATACGTTCCTACTGTTTGAAATCATTGAAAGACCATTAACACTGGCTTTAATTTTCTAGTTTGGTTTAGGCCCTAGTAAAGTTGGCTTGTTGTTTCTTCTTTCGGCGTGTTGTTACGCTATCTCTGCACCCTTGGTGGGATGGATGTGCGATAAGACGGTAAGTACTGAATCCTTTTGTTAGTGTTGTTCCTCCTCTTCCTCTTCTTTTAGCTGTTTATCTTGAAGAGTATGTCGAGAGGTAATGCGACCTGTAGGAGGTGCATTGGCCTAATGGTTCGTGGCCTGGACTCCGGTCCGCGGAGCGGTTCGGATTCAAGCCCTGGCCGGAAATATTGTGCTAAGCAAGACACTAGTCTCACAGTGCCTCTCTTCACTCATGATCGTGCAGCGAGTATAGGTACCGGCGAGTCGTTATCCCAAAGGAGTAGCAATACCCCTAGGTGATTCAATGCTAAAGAAACCGGAGTAAGCACCGGGAGCTACGAGCCAGTTGGGCTTAAAGGGCTTCTACTACTTATGCGAGATGTGCAATACTTCAATAATAAACTTGTCACTTTTACATGTATCTCCCTTACTGAACCTTACCTCCTTTTTGCAGGGTAAACCACGCGTGGTCATCATAATAGGTGCAGTTTTTGTGATCGTGGGCGTTTTGTTGCTTGCTCCAGCACCATTTATTACGTTTCTTCCTCAAAGGTTAGAGTGACGCTCATCCTAGATGTAGCGAAAATTATAGCTGCCTCGCGCCAACATCCCGAAAACAACTGACAATTGTCTGAGCGCGCGCCTTTCGACATTGAAGTTGTTAAGTAACTAGCTGGACGCGAAGTTGACTTGGCAGTCGTCTTGATAACGTTTGTGGTACTTGTGCCATTCTTGACTGCATAATAATCTAGAGAATGGTCAGCTATGGTCTCCAAAACCGACGTTCGAAACGTCAGCTCTTCAAGTTAATATCAACCTGAGTTTGTCTTTGACGAGCTTATTAAAATTACGCCGCATTACACTTAATTGGAGAAACAAAACAACAGCAATGGGGAAAACAAATGGTGATTGGCGATATATAAATCATCATCCTCGGTAGTGACAACTATGTTCAACTAAGTACGACCAATTGGCCAGCGATTGGTGAAAAGGTTAAGATCAATAATCAGACATGCATCTACGCTCTGTTTTCAGGAATCATTTCACCAAAAGAGAATCAAACTGATAGACTACTACTTCATCTGGCAGCCAGTAGAAACATCGCGCTCGCATGCCAGCGAAAAATGTGAAAAAATCACTTGCAGTTGACTGAAAATTATTATCGAACAGATTTAATTAGAAATACCAAACTAAGGTTCCCGCTGACTCCCTGTTGACAATCTCGCTCAGGGGTCATTATTTTGTTCGATATATTATTTCCTTTTTTTTTGTCTTGTATTTTTTAGGAAGGTGTGGCTGGTTTGTGTATCGATGGCTTTGTTGGGTATTGCCATCAGTGCATATCAAGTGCCTTGTATGCCAGATATGCTGGAAACGGCAAGGTATTTATACCGTCTTTGATCTAAAACACAGCGCAAATATTTTTTCAGATTGGAAGGAAATTAGATTACACGTATTGTAACAATAGTAAGTTTACGCGAAGGGTTTAATAATGAAATAGGAACATCTCAACCACTATTAAGCATACATTGTGGCTGAACACACTGCTAAGCATCCTCCCTCCAGGTGAAACCCATGGCTGCTTTGAGGCCTATTTCAGCCAGGTTGTTCATGCATGGGCCGTTCGTGCATGGGCGGCCACCGCCACACCAGTGAACTCAATGATGTGCCGCAAGCAGACTGCTTCGAAACAAAAATCTTGAAAACATTGAATAGACCTGTGCCGGTTCCTCCAGATTTAAGCAGACGCGAGTTTAGCTGCGTCTATGCAGCTGCTAGTTATCATCGTTGCTAGAACGATTAACATGTGCCCGTGACTAATCAGTTATTGCGATTAAGTGTGGTATGAAAATTGTTACACTTCGCTGTTGTATCCTTACAGAGAACACGGAATGCCTGATGACATTACTACTCATGGGGTGCTCTCTGGGATTTTCAATGCCATGGCAAGCATAGGGTAAGTTGGCAAGTCATATTCTGTAGAGTCCTTCATGGTCATGATTTCATTTTTCTACTTTTCTAATCTTTGTAACGTTCTTTATTCACCAGTGCTTTTCTAGGACCCACGGTCAGTGGACTGACGGAACATTATGTATCGTTTGAGTGGTCAACAGTGGTAAGTGCCGTCAACACTTCATTGGCTGTTACAGATTTCGAATCAAACCTCTGCACTCACAGCAGGGTGACTCGCACATACATCTTCAGAGCTGTCGGTTACGTATCGTAGCCAGGAGTATTTGTACTCCATAAAGAATAGCAAACGATGAAAACAAAGGCGTGTAGTGAAAGACATTGTAAATTGACTAGGATAAAGATAGCCGGCAATCAGGCAGAAGCACATTATGCAGCATTCCCTATATTCCACCTTCCGTTTTCGTAACCTCAACGAAGTAGCGTGCTTTGAGTAATGTTCTGTCTTTTAAAAAACACCTAACTCCCCGGTTTGTTTCTCTCACTCCTTAGGTTTTGGCTGGAATTCTTGGATTTCAGGTAAGCTCTTCACATTCTGAGAAGTTTGAATTCAAAGAAATAACTAGATGCATGTGGGGACTTGATGTTCAAGACTCGACATTGCCAGCGACAAGTGGCACCTTGTGCCGGCATTTTTGACATTTCTTCATCCAGTAATATGAAATGAAGATAACAAACCACCCAAGTTTGTAATTTTGTGTAGTCCCATGCTGGTGACAAAATTTAATAAAGACAGTTTATCCAAAATCGTTATCAAAATACTTGAGTAACGTGCGCCTTTTACGTTACTGCTCTTTGCAGTACGCAGCTCATGTAGGCCGCTTATGAACCTAATAAATGACTTAGTTCGTCATTAGCCTCTCCTCCGCTCAATGGCCAGAGAATCTGACCGGTATGAATGCTGTCGTATTCAGACTAAAGTTTTCGAGTGGGATCCTCCAGTGACCTTTCAAAACGGCCTTTTTTCGCTTTGATGTTGGTAGTTACCATTTCGCCCGAGTGGTCCGCCAAAAAGTTGACTCCTGTCATGTGTACCATACAAACTAAAGAAGAATTATTTTCAAAAACATTATAGTGTAATAGTGACTTGTGTATTTCGTTTTCTTTACAGGTCATTGTCCTAGCACTATTTACACTATTTGATCAAGGAAGAAAAAGGTACAGTCTGAGTGGTGATATAATATAGGCTGGTATGGTTTTCAGAGCACAGGTTCTCTCTGTTGTGTAGTAAAGTAATTATTGGTCAGAATACGAGTAGAAGCCTGAACGTAAATTCTTGAAACTAAGAAACTGGACGGTGTTTTGTCACACCCATAAATCTCATTTTTGTTTTAATTTCTCGAATCCTGTATTTTTCCCACCAGAACTCGGAAATATAGCATGAGAAGAAAACAAGATAGTAACGTGCAAGTAAGCTGAATTATACCGTATTTATTTATTACCTGGCATTTTCTTATGAACTCTGATCAGTATGTAATAAATAGTTATAAGTGCTGAATTGTTGTCATTAAGAAATGCTGTGCTGAGTTCTTTTAACCGGTTTTTTTTTAATGTTTCAGGTGTAAACACTTTTTTTTCTTTACCAGACAAGCTACATTTTTAGCCAACTTACAATGTAACGTTCAGTATTTTGTAGGGGCCAAAATACGTGGTTTAGACATTAACAATAGATCAGGTGTTTTAATGCGAAATATCCGTGATACAGTAAACACCTGCATATAGCAACAAATGGATTAAGAACATGAAATTTGGCCCTGAAATTTGGCCCAGAAATTTGGCCCATAAAGCACCATATATATAAGAACCAGTTCAGCCTGATAAATAAAACATGTTTTTGTATAATAAGGGAGAGGGTGTCGGAGTAAGAAAGCAATGTAACTATGGTTGCTGCGAGACTATGGTGGCCCCGGTTGGTTTAGCATGACTGTAAGAAATATTTTAAAAAAATGTTGAAACCAGTGCTACATTTCTACTCGTTAATGTTAACTAGTTTACTACCTGACAGATTGTTATTTTATTTATTGATTAACGGATTTGTTTACTTTCCTACTTATTTATAATAAAATATGGTAACCAAACCGCTAATAACATCTTATGTGTAGTATTTCTGAAACATAGTTTAAGAACATATTAAGAACATCTTCAGGCTGATATCTCACTAAGCACCCGATAAATAAGAACTAGATCAGCCTGAACC